ATAATGAATTTTAACATCACAGTGACATTTAACAGTTCTCTATGTCATCTTACAATTGATAATACCAATAGCTTAATAATCATGAATTAAATTCAATTGATGACCTTTCCTCTCAATCTAGATTCAAATATTATATGGAGATTAGAAAAAAATATAATACGAGGTTTTGAAATAAGTACATTTTTCTTTTCAGGAGATCATTATGATCTATTGAAACTCAAAACACATTTAGGTCAACTTATTATCTATAAGAAGATTAATAATATGTATCATTTCCTTAACACTCTTGGAAAAGGCAATTATTCATAAGTATGCTTGCTTCAGTGTAAAATTACAAATAAATTATATGCTGCAAAATGTATGAAAAAAGAAAATTAAGGTGTTGTTAATGATATTAAAAGGGAAATTTTCATTTGGTCTACGTTGCAACATAAAAACATTGCCAAATTCTATGAAGTCTATGAAAGTGCAAATTCTATATATATTGTTATGGAAAAACTTAATAATTTAAGAAATGATTACGATCATGAAGAAATTAAATTAATTATGAAAGTAAAATCAAATTTAATTAAATTTTTTAGGATATTTTGGAAGGTGTTCATTATATTCATTCTAGAAATATTATTCATAGAGATTTAAAAATAGATAATATATTAATTGATGATGAAAATTAAGTTAAAATTATAGATTTTGGATTAGCATGTCAATTTATACATTTAGAATCTAGAAGTATCACTTGTGGTACTCCTGGTTATATAGCTCCAGAAGTTCTTACTAATAAACCCTTTGATTATAAATCTGATATATTCAGTGTAGGAGTTGTTATGTATTAACTATATTTTAATAAACATTTATTCCAAGCTGAATAAGTTATTGACATCCTTAAACTTAATAAGAAATTCACTATATCTCGATTGTCAGTACTCAATATACCAGATTGTGGATATCAATTTTTAAGAAGTTTATTAAATCATAATCCATTATAAAGAATAACAGCTTCATAAGCTCTCTAACATTGGTATATGAATTCAATTAAAGAGGATCATTTTATTAAGATTCCAAGAAATCCTAATCCAAAATTCAAAGAATACATATAATTATCATCAGTAATGTACTCAAAAACTACTATAACTTCTTTTAATAAAATTTATTGATTAATTAATAATTTATATATCATATCCTTTTAAGGTCTTTTATTTATTACATACTCAAATTTTCCTCATCTATTATCTCTATTTTTTTTCTTATAAATAGATTTCAAATTGATTAATATTCTTTAATTTCAAATTCCAAAAAATACTGAATTTTATTCAATAATTTAAATGGGATAATATAATAAAAATATTAAACAATTAGTTCATTAATATTGTTGGATATATTAATATTACTCAAATATAGGATTACTTCATATATTATCTCTAAATTATTGGAAAATTTAGCTTTATATAATATTTTAAGTTTGTTTTTTTTCCATTTTTTTTAAAACTTTTACCCATATAGGTTAGATTTTATTTTGAATAGGATGGAACTCAATTTAAATTGTTTTATAATATTTTTGAAAAGCTTATTAGATTTCAAGGAATTTAATAATGATTTCGCTGATTTTATAAAATTTTTGATTAAAAATCGATATAAGATATAAATTGTAAACATTTTAACAGAACTGGATAGTGAATACACAAAATTATTTAGAGGATAATTAATAAATATTTATATGACATAAAAGAAAACTAATTAAGCTGACTTGATATAATTTTATTGTTAATTTTTTTATGATCAAAATCTTGAGGCTATTATTGAAAGAATAAAATTTTAATTATTCTATAATATAAGATATATTGTTATTTGCAAAAGTCTATAAATAAAAATAAATTATGTTTAGATCATTAATTTTGTTTTCTTTGCTGATAATGGCTTATTCAATATGGGAGAAAATAAATGGATGTAGTTGTGAAGAAATTGAAAATTTATATGATTGTGAACATTATTATCCAGATGGAAATTAATAATGTATTTGGAATGAAAAAAGATATGTTTGTGAATCTCATCCTTTAGTAGAATGTTTTTTAAAAACAGATAGTGA